GGAGATTGGAGTATCTGTCCATAGGACCACTTTAAGCCGTACACTCCACAGAGCTGGGATTTACGGAAGAGTGGCCAGAAAAAAGCCATTGCTTAAAGAAAAAAATAAGCAAACACGTTTGGTGTTCGCGAAAAGGAATGTGGGAGACTGCCCAAACATATGGAAGAAGGTACTCTGGTCAGATGAGACTAAAAGTGAGCTTTTTGGCCATCAAGGAAAACGCTGTCTGGCGCAAACCCAACACCTCAAACCCAACACCTCTCATCACCCCGAGGACACCATCCCCACAGTGAAGCATGGTGGTGGCAGCATCATGCTGTGGGGATGTTTTTCATTGGCAGAGACTACTAAACTGGTCAGAATTGAAGGAATAATGGATGGTGCTAAATACAGGGAAATTCTTGAGGGAAACCTGTTTCAGTCTTCCAGAGATTTGAGACTGGGATGGAGGTTCACCTTCCAGCAGGACAATGACCCTAAGTATACTGCTAAAGCAACACTCGAGTGGTTTAAGGGGAAACATTTAAATGTCTTGGAATGGCCTAGTCAAAGCCCAGACCTCAATCCAATTGAGAATCTGTGGTATGACTTAAAAATTGCTGTACACCAGCGGAACCCATCCAACTTGAAGTAGCTGGAGCAGTTTTGCCTTGAAGAATGGGAAAAAATCCCAGTGACTAGATGTACAAAGCTTATAGAGACATACCCCAAGAGACTTCCAGCTGTAATTGCTGCAGAAGGTGGCTCTACAAAGTATTGACTTTGGGGGGGTGAATAGTTATGCACGCTCAAGTTTTCTGGTTTTTTGGTCTTATTTCTTGTTTGTTTCACAATAAATAAATATTTTGCATCTTCAAAGTGGTAGGCATGCTGTCTAAATGAAATGATACAAACCCCCAAAAAATCAATTTTAATTCCAGGTCGTAAGGCAACAAAATAGGACAAAAATGTCAAGGGGGGTGAATACTTTCGCAAGCCACTGTAGGGCTGTGGCGGTCATTCATGACATTTTGTCAGCCAGTTATTGTAATGCAAAAGACTGCCGGTCTCACAGTAATTGACGGTTAATTAACATAAATATGTTTAGCAATACTCCGGCCTCTACACATACAAGCTGCTGATGCGTGCCTTTGAACATCTACATTTTAACAAGTCTAATAAATCAATTTAATATAAACCATAACAATAAATCAATTCTTTATTTTAGGTAGGTAAAGAAACATTATGATATGACAAATGTATTTCAGATTAACAGAATATGAGTTGGCCTACTCTATGTTATCTGGCTATGCTCCATGCCATAGGCTGTAGGCTTGTTCATTTAGCAGACAGGATATGCTTATGTCCCATGTCATTATTTTATATTATATGATTTGATAGTAAGAAGAATATAATTGAACTTAGCTGAATAAAATAGAAAGGATATTTTTCCCATTCTGGAGCAAGTGCGCATATGAAGGCTATGTTAAGCGTAAAAGTGATCATTTGAAACAGGTCCTATAGGCTAAGCTAGATTTAGCTATTTGGCAACTTTAGTTGTTAATGATACAAACCTTAAAATGTCTTAGAAATCGAAACATAGACGGGCAGCATGATGCAAAAAAAAAAAGCTTATGCTCTGTTCCTTGCCTTAGGCTGCACACACTGTTCTCTCATCAAGTGACCATATCACCCATCAGACTATTCTCAATTTAATATTGTCTTTACTATTATGTTAAATTAGTTTTAGATTTAGAATGGCCCATTATGAAATGGGCAGGAACAGGGGCAGGGGGAAAAAATGAATGTCATCCGCCTATGCAGTCGAATAGCGAATGGAAGCTGCTTTCCCGCCTGTTCGGGTAGGCTACTCCGGTTATTTCACTCCATGCATCAACCATTGTTTGAGGAGCATGCAGCCTCAGGTGATATTCTGCCAAAACTCTGTATGCCATGGGCTCCCCAACTCTGTTCCTGCAGCTACCAAGTGCTTAATTTGGGAAACCAAGTGAAATCTGTCGGGAACATCGTTTTCACAATGAAACATATTTCATTAAACTGTTGACTTCTCCTCTCTCTGCGTGCTTGAGAAAGTAATGAAGGAGAAAGGGGAGGAGATGGAAACGCACAGTGGTGATATATTATTACTAGGCTATTCAAAATCAAATACAAATTCACTATTGTAGGCTAACTCTGTAAGCCGCCCTCCACAATCAATGAACCAACAGCATCGCCTAGGCCTATACGTTCTCTCTGACTCATGAATAGAAACTTTGAAATGAAGCATAAGGTAACCAGTCCATCTAGTATGCATTATAATACAGTCCACACTCAAAGGTGATTACTAGAATTTGATACATTTTGGATTATAGGCTAGACCAATGTTTTTCTGTGGTGCATAATATGCATAGGCTATGTGTTGTATAAGAACTGTGCAATCATTATTTTAATAAATAAAAAAATGTTTCAGGCTTGGGCTCATATATAGGCCTATGCGTATGTATGAGCTCTAATGTGTGTATGTATGGGTGTTTTGAATTAATCATCACCTTTGAAAGAGTTGTCCATTTCATTGTTAGGCTTTGAAACAACATCCACAATGACCGTGTTTTCCACTGTTTCAATCTGTTGTTGAACTTCTTTCTTCAAATTGATCAATTACAATGAGGTGAGTTTTAAAAGCACAATACTGTTTTGATGATAAGTGTTTGATGTGATTTTCGATTGCATTGATGTCAGAGTGGTTAGAAGGACAATAGAGCCCTGAGTACCAGGCCATTAGCGAGTTGGATACTACCAATGCATGTCCAGAGTGCATAAGAGGAGATTACTCATGACTGCCGGTGTGGCAGTAATACGGTTCTGTTCTGATTCCAGATTTGAATAGCAGAGAATTAGACCAAGATGTCATACCCTCTAAGTTTTTGTGAGAATCCATAGCAACAGCTCCGTTTGGGCTGCTCAATGGCAAGACATGACAGAGCTGTTAGCTGGCGTTATCTAGCCACTTTTTGTCACTCTAAACTCACACAAACAGCTGTAACTTTTGATTGGTGGCAGATAATACTGTTCTAATTCCAGATTTGAATAGCAGAGAAGTAGACCAAGATGTCACACACTAACGGTTTGTCTAAAGTGCTGTGAAAGTTAGATAATTTTGTTGATGCGGTTACTAAAACAGCTGTATCGTTAGATTGGTAGAATATATTTTTGAACTGATTTCAGATTTGAATAGCAGAGAAATAAAGGAAGATTTCATATGCTCTAACTTTTGTCTAACTTGTGGGTAAAGTAGCTGATTTAAATGGTGTAAGAGGAATAGCATTGTAAATAATATAACTGTAAGTCAGAAATAAGTGGTACAATATTTAAAGTAGAACTGACGGTATTTTAACTACTTCGCAGATGTGAAACAGACAATCATATCAGTAAAAAATATAAAATTCCCTGTTTATGCTTCAAAACCAGCTGTATAAGATGTTTTAAAAATAGGTTATATTTGACTCAAACTTCCATGATGTACAGTAAGGCATTGTTGGCAGAATAGATGGATACAGTTCAATGCATGATTAATATAATTCACCAATACATTTCTTGGTAGATTGCTATCAGGTTGTAAATCACAGCCGGTCTGTCACGTTGTTTGCTGCCTCAATGACTCAATATTTTAAACAAAAACAGGATGCTGTAACTAAGGCTGGGAATGTCAATACAATCAAACTAGCAAGGGCAATGATCACAAGTCAGTCATAATGTGGTTAATAGGCTAGCGCACATTCGGGGGCCGAATAGGACACACAAGTGAGTATAAATGAGTAATCTACTAATTACAGCCTCAATTGCACTGCTTTCATGTGTCCGGTTTACAGCGTACAGCGGAGGGAAAGTGTACAGACATATGCCACAGTCCTAGCTAGGCTACAAAAATGTTGCATTCTGGCTTCAGTTTTTAAAGCTTGACAAAGAATAACCAAAAAACAAAACCTGCAGCAAAACACCATACAGCAATGCTGCATTCAACCGCACCGGTGATCCATGCAGTCCAAATGTTTAAATGTTACAACAACCTATAGCTACGCTTTTGTTATTTGGAGTTATTAAATACTTTTTGATTAGGGTCGCAGCATATTATGCAGATCTGCAAGCATAGCAGCAAAGGCTGGACAAATATTACTTATCTATTTTGTTTTAATATGTTAAAATGCTTTATACAGCGTCCTTATATACATAAGGGGAAATTAGAAAGGGACATATTTTTTCAAATAAAACAATGGCCCGCATATTAGTTTTTTTTTCGCAATATGGCCCGTGTGCTGATTTGAGTTTGACACCCCTGGGCTAGCGTATTTATTTATGTAGCTAGCTATTATTTAGCAAGCTAAAAACACAGAGCCTAATGTTAGCTAGCTAGCTGCTGGGAGGATGTCATGTCATTAGAGTAGTGGGTGAGTGACCAACCTTTTTCCTCTCATATCGTTTTTCGGTGGCTACAGCTAAAGATGCAGGTGTCGTTTGGTTAGCTAGCAAGAAATGTGAATCGCTTTGCTAGCTAGCTATACTGAACTTGGAACGACTTATCCACAGTTAGCATATCTCTTAGTTGTCAATCAAATGGATTTGGCATTGATCAAATGGGCGGGCAGGCAGGCAAGTTCCCATTCAGTTGTCAAAACGTGGGTTGGGACAAGCATTCATTGGCAGGCAGGCTGCAGAAGAACGAGCAGGCTACTATTCCCCATCGTTTATCAGTGCAATTTTGACGGCCAACTAACTGAACAGTTTGAGAGGGTTTATCTAATGTTCCCTCGTTAGATTTTAGCTCATCTCGCTCTGGCTAGCATTAGTTGTTGATCTTGTTGATGTGCATTACCAACTGAGGGAAAGAGCTCACGTAACTCGCTGCTTCTGTCTGCTTACTTTTCACGCTGCCCTCTTCTCTGTTTTTCATTGCCTCTTTCCTCCTCTTCGTTATCTCTTATCATCTCCCATAGGTCAGAATCCACCTTCATCAGGAAGATCTCCTAGGTGTACTTCTCCACTTTTGCCTTGAACTGTTCCTTTGCTTTCTTCTCCTCCAAAGCCTGAGCGTCCATCTTGGCCCCGCTCTTCATCAGGTTCAATTCCTGGGTGACACTGATCAGCTTGGCCTTCAGATATGCCATTAACTGGTCAGCCTCCGAATAGAATACTTACCATATTTATTGGGGCATGTCGGTAGATCCTGTATAGTTAGGATCTGAGTCTTGATCTGAATATGTTTCTTCATGACCTGCCTTCTGAAGGCCAAGCTGATCAGAGGGAAACCAGCGGGTTTCCCTCTGGTCTGACTAGCCAGAATAGTTCCTTCTTGGGACCATTGTTAGGCACAGTGACTCTGGATCTAATGGGAGGCAGTGGCGTCTTGGTGGCCATTTTGGCTCCATGGACTGCCTTCAACGGCTTGGCGCTATGGAGGAAGATGTCTTTCACCACACAGGTTTGATACCTCTTGGTCTGGATGGGTCGCAGTGGCTTCCGGATGTGAGGAAAACTAGCCTTCCCTGTCTGCTGATTTGTTGGAGCTGCATGCAGTGTTCGACTGTTCCCATTGCAGATGGCACTCTTCTTCTGCAGTACTTGGATTCTGGAGGGTGGATGTGGCTTATTTTCCTCAGTCTCAATATTTTCCACTGCCTTCAAACTTGCAATTAGTTGCAGAGCACTTTCTTTCTTCAGTCAACGCCAGTACTGGGATTCTGGAGGAACAATGCGAGGTGTGATGAACCTTCCGGTTGAGCTCAGGAAGTGGCCCTGGGTTGAGATGGTGGGGCAGGCTGAAGGGAGCTGGTACTGGCAGCACCAAGGTTCCCTATTGAAGCATTATCTTCCTGGAGCGGCTGCAGGAATCTCCTCAGCATCAATGAGATTGACAGTGTCATCTTTCGCACCTTGTTCTGCAACCTCAAGTTTTCGTCTAGTAACACGTTCTATATTTTATGGTGGTCTACTGTAATAACTATGTCTCAGGTGGAATATACTAGATTGTCTTCTTGATACTGGTGTTGTATGTTCAGTATTCAGTCACCAGAATGGTCAAACGGAATGTTTGGAATGTATTGATCAGTTGTAACATGGCTGGCTTACATATAGAATTAGAATGAAATTCTATGCTTATGTAGTTGTGATGTCATAATGGACCAATACTTCTGAACATTGTGAATCAATGTGACCTACCTGTGTTGAACTGCTTGCCCTCATATTTAAACATGGCACTTTTCATTGAGGGGAAACGTATTACTGTACTCATTACTGTAAATCATATAACACATTGTACATCAAATTATTTTGTAATATGACAATGGAATGTGTCTGTCTGTCTCTGTGTGTGCATGCGTGCACATATGTGTGCTCCCCACACACCCCAGCACTGGTAGAGTTGAGACAGAGAGCCCAGCCCACAGACTGTGTTGGTATTATGTAACAGAGTCTAATATTGTTTACCAGAAACATCTGATCCCAACAGAAACACACAGCATGTTCTGCTCATGGTGTAAGAATGCAATTTATATCTTGCCCTGTTTATCTTAGTGGAAAAACTTGTCAATAATCAACTGACTGTCTTTCTTGATATCTATAGTATTCTTTCTGGTATGCAATCTGGTTTCTGCTCAGTTTATGGATGTGTCACTGTAACCTTTAAGGTCCTAAGTGATGTCACCATTGCCCTTGATTCGAAGCAATGTTGTGCTGCTATTTTTATTGACTTGGCCAAAGCTTTTGATACGGTACACCATTCCATTATTGTGGATCGGCTAAGGAGTATTTGTGTCTCTGAGGGGTCTTTGGCCTGGTTTGCTAACTACCTCTCTCAAAGAGTGCAGTGTGTAAAGTAAGAACATCTGCTGTCTCAGCCACTGCCTGTCACCAAGGGAGTACCCCAAGGCTCGATCCTAGGCCCCACGCTCTTCTCAATTTACGTCAACAACATAGTTCAGGCAGTAGGAAGCTCTATTATCCATTTATATGCAGATGATACAGTCTTATACTCACCTGGCCCCTCCCCGGATTTTGTGTTAAACGCTCTACAACAAAGCTTTCTTAGTGTCCAACAAGCTTTCTCTGCCCTTAACCTTGTTCTGAACACCCTCCAAAACAAAGGTCATGTGGTTCGGTAAGAATGGTCCCCAAAGCGCACACATCCCTGGGTCGCTCCTCTTTTCAGTTAGTTGCAGCTAGCGACTGGAACAAGCTGCAAAAAACACTCAAACTGGATAGTTTTATCTCCATCTCTACATTCAAAGGCTCAATCATGGACACTCTTACTGACACTTGTGGCTGCTTCGTGTGATGTATTGTTGTCTCTACCTTTTTGCCATTTGTGCTGTTGTCTGTCCCTAACAATGTTTGTGCTGCTACCATGTTTTGCTACTGCCATGTTGTTTCGCTACTGTGTTGTTGTCATGTTGTTTTGCTACCATGCTGTGTTGTCATGTGTTGCTGTGTTGTCTTAGGTCTCTCTTTATGTAGTGGTGTCTCTCTTGTCATGATGTGTGTTTTGTCCTACATTTGTATTTTGAATCCCAGCCCCCGTCCCCACAGGAGGCCTTTTGCCTCTTTGTAGGCCGTCATTGTAAATAAGAATTTGTTCTTAATTGACTTGCCAAGTTAAATAAAGGTTAAATAAAATAAATAAATAAAAAACATGTATAGGTCCAGAGAATAGGGTGTTTGTGTGTGTGCATCAGTGGAGGCTGCTGAGGGGAGGAGGGTCGCTCATAATAATGGCTGGAATGGAGTATGATGGCTGGTATGGAGTGAATGGAATGGTATCAAACACATACAATTAAAATTAAATGTTTGATTCCATTCACTCCATTCCGGCAATTATTATGAGCCATCCTCCCCCCAGCAGCCTCCACTGGTGTGCATTTAGTTGAACAAGCTTGTGTGAGTGTGGGCTTGTGAATGTGTCAGTAAGAACACCCTTACCAGCTAACTACCCCACCTTCAACACTGTGCACAACACGTTATTTGTGTGTGTTGACATTCATGTCTTTGTTTCTCTCCTCAAGAGTGCAGTCGCAGGTTGATGAGGTCATCGATGTGATGCAGGAGAACATCTCCAAGGTGATCGACAGGGGAGAGAGACTGGAGGACCTGCAGGACAAGTCAGGTGAGACTCAAGTCCTATTCAGATCAAGTTAACATCTATAAAATAATATGTACAGAATCTGAGACTAGCATAAAAACACTCTAGACTCCTGTCTTACATAAACAGTTCAGATAGGAAGGGAAAGAGTCTGTATATGTGATCCTATGAGTGGACCCTGACAGAAGTTTGTACAAGCAAGAGAACATTCCTGTTGGAGATGACCTGGAATGCTGACAGGTCCATTAGTCATACTCTACAGGAGCTCATTTCCCGCTGAGAATTCCACTCAGTCACTCCGGAATGGGAATGGGAGGGAGATATGACAAGGCTAACTCTCACTCCTGACTGCTCTTCTCTGGTTATCATGGATCAGTGGCGATGACATACAGAACACACACACCAAATGCAGAGCTTAGATGGGCAGGTGTGGCAACTATAAAGGAAGTAAATGGAGTCTAGTCTGTACTGTCGTAATAGTGATTAGATGATTAGAGCTGTAATTAGTAAGGATGTTTTTCATCTGGGGCAGTAAGGAGGTGTTAGAGGATGTAGGAAGCTGAACTGAACACATCCAGGTGTTCTGCCCATTCTATGTGAATTATACGATCTCTATGTTCAGTACACTCTACATGTGTTAAAGATCTCTACAGGTTGACTGCATTAACAGGCTAGCTCTCACTTGCTCTGTCTCTCTGTCTCTCTATCTCTCTCTCTCTCTCTCTCTCTCTCTCTCTGTCTCTCTGTCTCCTCTCTCTCTCTCACACGCAACACACACACACAGAACACACACACGCACACAGGCCTTCCTGCTCTCTCCTCTGTTGTTGTGATGAACAGATAAAACGGGCTTTCTCCAGCCGTCCTGGGTACTCCAGGTCCATCATGACATACACAGATGTTGTCTCTGTCATGTCCACCAGCACAATACCCACATCTGGAACACAGTGGTGTGTGTGTGTGTGTGTGTGTTTAGGAAGGAACCCTAATAGAGTTTCGGTGTTGAAGAGTAGCACATTTGTGTGGCCTTAGACTTGACTTTGTGTGTGTCAGGAATGCAAAAGCTCAAGGAGAATGGATGAGCAAAACGCCAAACTTTCGTAGTCACCTGCATATCCAGTGAACTCAAAGGATTGGGAGAGTGTCACAGTTGTTGTTGTTTTGCTCTACTCCAACACTTTGGATTTGAAATGATACAATGACTATGAGGTTTAATGTACAGACTGTCAGCTTTAAATTGAGGGTGTTTTCATCCATATCAGGTGAACTGTTTTAAAAATTACAGCACTTTTTGTACATAGTCCCCCCATTTTAGGGGACCAAAAGTATTTGGTCAAATTCACTTAAGTGTATTAAAGTAGTAAACATTTTAGTTTTTGGTCCCATATTCCTAGCACGCAATGACTACATCAAGCTTGTGACTCTACAAACTTGTTGGATGCATTTTCTGTTTGTTTTGGTTGTTTCAGATTATTTTGTGCCCAATACAAATTAATGGTAAATAATGTATTGTGTCATTTTGGAGACTCTTTATTGTAAATAAGAATAGAATATGTTTCTAAACACTTCTACATTAATGTGGATGCTACCATGATTACAGATAGTCTTGAAAGAATCGTGAATAATGATGAGTGAGAAAGTTACAGACGCACAAATATCATACCCCCCCCCCAAAAAAAAGTACTAACCACCTCTGTTATTGTAATAGTTTTTTATTTATTTTAATTCACCTTTATTTAACCAGGTAAGCCAGTTGAGAACAAGTTCTCATTTACAACTGCGACCTGGCCAAGATAAAGCAAAGCAGTGCGATAAAAACAACAACACAGAGTTACATATGGGGTAAACAAAACATCAAGTCAAAAATACAAACAGAAAATATATATACAGTGTGTGCAAATGTAGTAAGTTATGGAGGTAAGGCAATAAATAGGCCATAGTGCAAAATAGTTACAATTTCATATTAACACTGGAATGATAGATGTGCAAAAGATGATGTGCAAATAGAGATACTGGGGTGCAAATGAGCAAAATAAATAACAATATGGGGATGAGGTAGTTGGGTGGGCTAATTTCAGAATGGCTGTGTACAGGTGCAGTGATCGGTAAGCTGCTCTGACAACTGACGCTTAAAGTTAGTGAGGGAGATAAGAGTCTCCAGCTTCAGAGATTTTTGCAGTTCGTTCCAGTCATTGGCAGCAGAGAACTGGAAGGAATGGCGGCCAAAGGAGGTGTTGGCTTTGGGGATGACCAGTGAGAAATACCTGCTGGAGCGCAGACTACGGGTGGGTGTTGCTATGGTGACCAGTGAGCTAAGGTAAGACCGGGATTTGCCTAGCAGTGATTTATAGATGACCTGGAGCCAGTGGGATTGGCGACGAATATGTAGTGAGCCAGCCAACGAGAGCGTACAGGTCACAATGGTGGGTAGTATATGGGGCTTTGGTGACAAAACGGATGGCACTGTGATAGACTACATCCAATTTGTTGAGTAGAGTGTTGGAGGCTATTTTGTAAATTACATCGCCGAAGTCAAGGATCGGTAGGATAGTCCGTTTTACGAGGGCATGTTTGGCAGCATGAGTGAAGGAGGCTTTGTTGCGAAATAGGAAGCTGATTCTAGATCTAACTTTTGATTGGAGATGCTTAATGTGAGTCTGGAAGGAGAGTTTACAGTCTAACCAAACACCTAGGTATTTGTAGTTGTCCACATACTATAGGTCAGACCCGCCGAGAGTAGTGATTCTGGGCGGGTGCAAGCAGCGTTCTGTTGAAGAGCATGCATTTAGT